GTGAGGGGACTGGCCAGAGTGTGAGGGGACTGGCCTGGGCGTGAGGGGACTGGCCAGAGTGTGAGGGGACCAGCCAGGGCATGAGGGGACCGGCCTGCCCGCACCCCACGCAGTGTGGGTGGGCTGGGGCAGAGTGCGGATCGTGGTGCTAAGGAAAGTAAGATCCAAGTAAAGTTGTATTTAGACCATTAATTCTGTTTCAACTGTCGGGAGAAAAACAGGTCATTTAACTCCAGTGGTTCTAAAAAGCAAGGATTTTTTTTTCCTTACCAGTGATGGGGTGGTGGTAAGATTTCTCACCAAAATCAAATTACTGTTCAGTAGAGCTTTTCCTCTCAGGGTTTTTTCCATATGTAACTTATGAAAGAGGGTAGGACATGCCGTACTACAACCTTTATTATTATTACTCATCTATTTTGCTAGAAATCTGTGTATATTTTAGGTATGCATGGATTTCTAAAAACTTAATTAAGGATATGGAACAACTGTAAATTAAAACAGATATGCAGTGAGTAGAGATGAATTGTCACCCGTGCTTCCAGTCAGTGGCTTCCTCTGCAGAATGTGCACCAAGAGGTGCTTTTGATGGTCTTCAGAAAGCTGAAGGGAAGTTCTCCATAGTTTCTTTTTCTGAGCTATGAAGGCTGTTGATACTGGAACATTGTGTTGTTGTGTTGTCTTCAGCCATGTGACTTCCACGGCTGAAATGCCTGAGAGGATTTTAACTGCAATCTTGGGATCCAAAGCAGAGAGTTTAGTATAGAGATGAAGCAATTACTGAGTGGAGGAGATGAAATAAATGCATATAAATGTCTGCACCACTGCAGGCACTGTAAATAATTTCTGTTGAATTTCCTTTGTTGCACTGGGTGGTCATATTTTGTTTGTTCTCTGTTGCTCATTTTTGGTTGGGATATATTGAAATAAAAGAGAATATTTGAAGAAGAAAGACTCCAACTTTCAGAAGAGGTACAATCCAGTAGGATACATCAGGAACCAAAAGTAAATTTGCTCTGATAGTAAAATAATTTCTTCGTTCCTACTTATTCATTGTGTAATTTTGAGGAAGGCATAGGAAAGTAAATATTTAAAGTGCACATAATATGAAATGAACATAACGCACTTGTACTGAAATTGGAATTATTTGGTCATATGCATGCAAATGAATCAGTAATGTTGAAGAAAATTACATCGAGTGCTTTTAATTTAATTGATGTCCAGCAACTGTAAAACCATCAGTCAGTTTGTGCCAGACCAACTGTGTTGTGGTTTAACCCTGGCTGGAAACTAAGCCCTGCACAGCCACTCACTCACAGCCTGCTGGTGGGATGGGGGAGGGAGTCAGAGGAGTAAAAGTGAGAAAACCCATGGGTTGAGATAAGACAGGTCGAGCAAAAGCCACGTGTGCAAGTAAAGCAAAACAAGGAATTCATTCACCACTTCCCACAGGCAAGGCAGGCAGGTGTTCAGCCATCCCCAGGGATGACCCAGCAGCATCCCCTCCCAGTTTCTTGTGCCCCCCACCTCCTCACTGGGGGTGCTGTGAGGGGCAGAAAAGGCCTTGACTCTGTGTAAGCACTGCTCAGCAGTGATGGAAACATCCCTGTGTCATCAATGCACAACAAATCCCCATCCCAGCTACCACTGAGGATATTACCCCTAGCCCAGCCCAGCACAAACTGCTGTTTGCAACATGGGCAACCTTTCTCCACTGTGGCAGGCAAGATGCAACCTGAAAATTCTATCAAGGAACTGTAGCTTTGCAAATTCTTTTGATAAATAAATGTAAGTATTATATTTTCCCAGTGTTCCAGTTTGGTTTTATTGCTACATATGTTTAAAAAAAAAAAAAATTCCTCCCCAGTCCTTAGTGAATGATCCTGTGCAGTTGTGTGGATGGATTATAACTACCAGTTATAATAGTTCCAGTTCCCAAATCTTAAGTCAGATGACTGAAATGGCAGTGGATAGCAGTGTTATATTAGTCCAGTGGAAGTTAAATCCTTTTGGAATTGGGAACTGTCTGCATCAGGTAATTAGTTTTGCTTTATATTGGGATGGGTTACCAATAGTCAGCCGTTGTGAGGAGGAGGTGGCAGCTCTTGTCTGTATTGCCCAGGCTCTGGCAATGGTGGCACATGCACACAGGCCCTGCTTCCCAATCCAAGTCACCAGCTGGCTTTTGTGCTGTCACGTGTCCCTGTGGTGTGAGGCTGAAGGAAAGCATAACAACCAATTTGGAATTGTGTTGTTGTTGAGTTTTGGGAAAGTGTCCTTCCTTACTCTGGAAAACAGAACCAAGAATCTGATGGTTGGAGAGTAAACCACAAAATTCCACTGAAACCGAGGGAGCTGCACCAGACTGCAAAACCAGGCAATCTCTGGTAAAAATAACTTTTCCATTATATGAATGGATCTATTTTTACCTGCAAGAGAATTTAAAAGCTGAATTAAAAGTGTGTTGCCCTGGGAAGTACACTAAACTGTGTTTTCTCTCCCTTAGAACATGACTAGCTGTTCTCCAGCTTTGCATAGGCCTTGGAAAGGATGGAGCTTCTGACTTCAGAACAAAAGAGGAAGAAACATGCCAGTGGAAGGAAATGTTACTGGAGCTGAAGGCGCTGCTTTGGGGCAGCTCTGAGGTATCCTCTGTTGTTTTTAATTAAGGATTGCTCACTTTATTGTATCTCCAGAACTTTAAAGTTTTGTAAGGTCCAGACTTCTCCACTGCTCTTGCAGCTCTTTGCCTACAGTTTGTGACATAATTACTGCTGCTGGTCTCAGCAACCCATTGAAATTGCTGCTGCTGGTTCTAATTCACAGTCAGGTGGTGTGAGACTGCAGAAGGTACTCCAGATAGGGCAGGAGGCCTACTTAGTTAAAATAAAATAACAGGTAATACAAAAAAGAAGCAACACGTTACTATTTCTCCAAGAAGCATTTAACGTGCTCCTCCTGCTATGTGCTAATTGATTTTTGCAACATCAACACACAGTGTATTTCCAGGATGTTCTCTTTGAACCAGACTTCCTGCTGTCTTGAAAAGTCTCTTGGTTTTTTTATTTGTTTTGTGGAAAGAATGCTTCCTGGTTTTTTACAGTTAAGGGCTGACTTTCCTTGGAAATGGTTACTATTGCCCTAGAGAGTATGTGATGGATGCAGAATGAAGAAGTAGCTGGAATATGGCTTGCTCAAAAAGACTGTCATAAATTCCCTAGGTCAGGATGGGCTTTCAGATATGAGTGAATGTTGTCTGGCTGCCACAGAATGATGGGAAATGAGAATTTGTAAATCCAGTCCAGCTTAATTACAAGGCAGCACCTGTATGAAAAATTATTTTTGTTTGTAACTGAACCACCTTACTTAGCACTGAATTTTGGCTAAGACTGGAGGATAAAATGTGGTCCCACTTCCTAGTTTCATCCTAGAGATTGTCAAGTGGTGCCCTTGGCCATATAAACACATGAGTATCCAGTTGGACTTTTGGGATATATTTTGACTCAAAAATGTGAAGAATTGGGAGCCTACAGCAGCAGTAAACCCTTCTAACCTTTTTACCATTTTAACAAAGAAATAGCCAAGGAGAGAACAAGGAAAAATATGTGCAAATGTTCTACCAACTTTTTTTATAGTTGTTAGTAGATAACCTTGGGAAAAGGTGTTTATTTGAAAGGTTGCTTCCAAAAAAAAGGAGAGAGAAACTCTGTGCATACTTCACATTCTAACATTTAGAACACATTGTCCATTTTTAATCATGTTCTTGCTGTAGAAATTTGACACATAATTCTTTTAAAATATTTAAAACATCTCTGGTGCATTAGCTACTATTTTTCTCTAAAACACCATGGTTTTTACACTAAACAGTAATAATTGGCTACCTCTCCACCCCCAATTTTTTGTGGGTGGTTTTTTTTTTTTTTACATTGGGGATAGTCTTCCTTAACATAAAAAACAATGCCCAACTTACCCTGTCTTTTCATGATGTAAACAGGTGAATTATGCTGTTGTAGCAGGTCAGTAATTACAACCTGTGGGACTTGGATGCAGAGCACAAAATACTTCTGATGTCATTAGTATAAATAAAGAAGGAGTGGAACAGATAATATGTGTGTGGAAGGCATGCAGACAATGGATCAGCTTCTTAACTTATTAATTCTTGCTGATGTGTGGTTATATGAAGACATATTCTGTCTCCATGTTTTAGGCAAGCACTTTAAGGGCAAGATTACAAAGCCAAATTGTGAACTGCAACTGTAATCTGAAATCAATAAAATGAAATAAAATACAGAAAGGTTAAATTATAAAATACTGCATTTGGAACGCAAAATTAAATGATCAGATGCAAACTGGAGAATAATTGCATAACAAAAAAAATCAAACTGAATGATTAATTATAGGTAACACTTCAGCAGTGATTTTTTTCCTACCTTTCTTCATGCAAGAGCAGTGATTTCTCTCTCAGTAGCACTGACAAGTTCTATACTTAAACCATGTGTTGCATGGGAAAGTATTGTTGGGGATTTGAAAGGAGACTGGAAAAGGGAAGTGAAAATAAATATATTTGCCTCTGTACACTATGAACAATTTTTAAATTACTTATGTTTGTTTGTTCTAGAAGATGAAGCCTGGACACGGATTTAACAGTCCACAGCATGTTAGGTTTTTGGATTTAATTATTTTGGTCATTAGGAGGCTAGTGATCAATAAGAGTCTTACAAGGATAAGGGGTGAAAAAGCAATTCAATTTTCCAGAAGAAAGATGGCATTTACCATGTGTAAATAACAGAATTATTTTCTGACCAGGGGGGATGTGGTGGAGTTGATGTAGGATAAGGATAGTTTGGACAGACATCTATTTTTGAATCTTGCTTCAGGACAGAAAGATGGACTAAGCAGTGCTGTGAAACATCTTCTGTTCCTGAATGTGTGGCACAGCAATAATGATAAGAATAATAAAGTCATTCTGTTTGTCTTGGGTGTCCTGTATCCTGTAAATAGGGAATAAGCTGTGCTTAATTTTGGGAAAGAGGCATATTCCAAGTGGGGGAGATGCTGTCAGAAAGGACTATTGTTTTGATTGGGGATCTGGCAGGAGTGGGTAAGTAGATTAAATTTGTATACAACCTCCCCTTGCTGAGGCCATCCAGTGAGCTCTGAATTGAGTATTTATTTCTTGCTACGTATCAATAGTTTGACTGTCATTCAACTAGATTTATAACCCACATCAAAGATATGTTTTTGTCTGGTTGGGGTTTTTGTTTGTGGATTTTTTAAAAAGAATATGTATTTTAAAATACACCCTCATAGGAAGTGCATTCTTTTATGCATTCCCTAGTTACGAAAAGTCAATCCTCCAGTTCTATATTTTCTGGAGACCTCTATTCCTTCTTAGGTGTAAGCCCTTGCCATGCTAGAGTTGAACTTGGATGTCTGGCCTGGGAAACAGGCTGAAGTTTCCTTTGGGTGAATTCATTGTTCTGTAATCTTGCTTGCATTCCTGATTCCCAATTCCTTGCATGCCTTTTTCTATCCTTTGCAGGCTGAGTTTTCAGTCCATAGACACTTCTTCTTGAACAGCAAGAGAAACATAATTCAAAGCTATTCCACTTGAATAATATGCCTTCACAAACTCCTGGGATTTGCCTTTCAGTGTGAATTTCTGCAGTGCTTATGTGAACATACAGATTTCTTTTGTGTTGTAAGATTTCTGCAATATCTGAACTTTAACATTTTAACATAGTCCTATGATTCCCAGCTTGTCACTTTTCCTAGAATTGCTGCAGTAATGCTGAAATAGAACAATAAATCCACTGTGATGATGAATGTTTTGAGTGAAAAGGCTGCAGCACTTTGTCCACATGAGCAAGGACTGATCAGACCAAGAGTGCTGTAAAACTCAGTCACCACTTCTGCCATTCCTTTTCTGCTGCTGAAAACTGGTGATTCTTCTTTTAGAGGTGCAGAGGGAAGGAGTCTCTTCCCCTCCCCCTGCTCCCAGATGAAAAGTTGTGGTTTCTCCCCACTAACACAATATCAGTACCTTTGCCATGTTTTCAGTCCTGGGTTGGGAATTCATTGTACAATGTGGGTCTTCTTGGATTAACTGATAATAATGCCAGCATAGCTGCACGTGCTACAGCATTTACATCTTTCTTTTTATCACTCACAGTAAGAATGCAAGAAAATACTTGGAAGTACTTATCAGCCAGTTTGGTTCTTTCAGTCTGGCTCTACAGCTTCTTAGTGTTCTGCAGGAGATGCAAAGTCACTTTTTACTAAAGGAGAACAGTTTTATTTTTTCAGTTTAAGCTTATTAATACTTATTAGAAACTAAAATCTGTCACTCCAAAAATTACTTAAAGAATCTTGGTAAGTGTTGTCAGTATTTTCATCTGGGTAAATTTAGTATTGTGGGACCTTGTATTTAAACACATGTATTGCAGTTACATACCCACCTTTTGTGGCTCAGTGTGCTTTAATAATCTGCACAGTTAACATTTGAATATGCTTTGAGCTGAATACATCCCAAACTCTGCCTGCTCTCTGGGTGCAACCCTTTCTTTTTCTGCAGTTATCACCAACAACCAAAAAGTTGGGTAGGAATTTAATTCTAAAGCTTAGAATGCCATTAAGAAAAACAATCTTTTCCACAACTGGAATTATGATTATTACACAGCAGGAGGAATGGAAGTTGTGTTTCTAGCTAGGAATTATGTTTCCTCTGCAACTTTCTATTTCAGATTTCTCTTGGCATGTATTTTGTAGCTTTCCAGTTAGAAAATATTGGCTGCAGTTGAGACTGAAGGTGCCTCACTACAGAGACAGTCAAATGACTACAGCTGATATCAGTGTGAGCACTGCATTGGGGGGTTATTTTGCTGTGCTTTTTTGTAACTCTCTTCTTTGTTTTTGTTTTATTTTTCAACAGAAGTTCAATATTTATCTGTGCTGGAGAAGTAGTGTGAGTTTTCACTGTATGGTGCCTTTCATTTTTAGAACATTGCACTGTACTTTCTGAAAATTGGAAGCAGAAAAGCTTTAACAGCACCTTGCCCATTTCATACTGAACAGATTTCACAGAGAGTTCTACTGAACTAGTGAAGAGCCAGTAACAATGTTGTCAAAAGGTTGTGTGGGTACTGTGCCTCCCAAGAACACCCTCTTTGCCACTAATCCAGATCATTTTTGCTACAGGAAGGTCTAATCAGAGTTATGGATCGGGCAGCTGGTTTCTGTTTTCTCCCAGTGTAGTAATAATGTAGAGAATATAACCCTTTTCTTCATACAAATCTAAAGTATAGAATGTTTGCCCAGTGTGCATAAATTGATTCATCTGAGTTAGATTTGTAGCACTGCAATATCACCACCACCCCCAAAGAAGAAATCTCGAAGGTGCTCTTCCGTTCACGAGGTTTCCACAGGAATATTTAGCTGTTCTGTCTCTCACTGAACCTGCCTCCCAGCTATTGTGTTACAAGTGGTGAGAATGTTGTTTGAAAACTAAATAAAAAAGTCATCTTTGAAGCAGTTCAGGGACAAGAACTTGCTGTGTTATACATTGTTTCATGAGAGCTTAACTCAGTTTCCAGGCTAGAAAACCCCAGCCCTGTGTCCTGCGGGCACAGACAGGGGGGAAGCCTCTGAAGAAGACTGAAGGGCTGGGCTTTGCATGCAAGTGTCTTTCCCCACAGCAAATGATCCAAAGAGTGACTTCTATAAATACCACATTTTCCAACTGCAGAGGTTTCTCGTCCTTTCCCGTGGATTCCTCGCCAGGCGTTTTCCCAGTCCTGAAATAGAGATGGTTCTGTAGCCAACACACACTTAAACAGCCCTTTGAGAGCTGGGTTAGATTTTTGTTGGCTTTAGTTTGAACTTTTAAACTGTCGGATTATTTTAGGAACATTTGTGGAGAAACATTGCCTCTTGGTGTTGCTTGCTCTTTTCCAGTGTTATAACAACGTAGTAAAACAAGGCTGTGGCTGATATCTGCTGTAACATTTATACCAAGAGTATTGCATTGCTATGCAGCACTTCTTTAAACAGTGACTTTTTTACCTTGGAGCACAAAGGACAATGGCTCAACAAAACTCTTTGAAACAAAGGGGATATACATTTATTTGCAGATATCCCAAAGCAAGTTTTGTTGCTCCTGGTGTCTGAAGAAATTGTACTGAGAAAATGCTAATTTCTCTTTCTATCAGATGGTGTTGGAACTGAAGTGTAGTTAATGGTCATAAATCAGAAGTAGGCAAAGTTCTATTTAAAGGTTTGTCTTTAACAGAACAACTGTGCTTTGACAATTTTCAAGTACTAAGTAGTAGAAATATTTATTTAAAAGTAAGGGATTAAAAGATACATCTGGTTTATGACAAATCAAGTTTAATCAAGTAGTTGATCCTGGCAAATATGTCAGTGTTGCTACAGCATCTTTGCACTTTTGGAGAATATAAATGCAAGTTGGGGTGTTTCAGTGTTCCCTTTTTTCGTAGGTATTTTCTGGTTATTTCAGTTTTGAAAAATCACTTAATACTGTGATCATACCACTAAATTCAGCAGGCTTTTACAAAGAGATCTTGAAATTAGAGTTCTAAGTGCAGGCTTTGGAATGCACAGCATTTTTGTAATTTTGAGGAGAACTTTGCATAGAAACTACTCTTGAGGGAGCTTAGAGCTTGTTAGTACAGGGGCTGTCTGGGTCACAGGATGGCTGTGGTACAATGGCAGGACAAAGTACTGGGCCCTGGAGGGTGTCCAGCAAGACAATTATTTCCTTCTTTCTGTTACAGTGTGTATTCTGACACTGTTTGAGACCAACACCACAGTTTGGGAATGTGATTCATGACATGTGTCAGGTACAGTGAGATACAGCAGATGCTGCACACCAGCATTTCAAGGAATTAAAAGGGTTTCTTTCTCTAGGTTGTTCTGGAGAATTCCTAGTCCAGAGATTTATTAAAAAAAAAAAAAAAAAAGGTGTTTTTTTCCTGATGTTTTTATTAAATTTTAAGAAGCAGCTGCAGTTGCTGGCAAGTATCTGAATGAGCTCACAATGGTACTCCTAAAGTACTGTCTCAAACTCACTATGTCTTCATTCCAACATTCTACCTACTGGTGATGAGTTTGCCACCAACACAATGTCTACAGCAACTGGTGTGAGTTGCAGCTGTGTTACTGTCTAGAGAGTCAAAAGTGTATAGTTGTCTTTTTTTCTTTGAAAATGAGTAGCAATAATGATAATAAACCTTACCATTATTGTCTTAATTTAGGAAAAAAAAAAAAAGGAAAGCCAAAATAATACCTTTAGGATTCTAAACTAGTAAGACAGGTATTGTCTGTAGTATACCTTACCATTAAAGGCTTGCAGATTTTGTGCAGAGGGTTTAGCATCTGTAAGTCATTCATAATAAAATCTAATCCCTCAGGTGCCATGGAAAGCAGAAAGCAATGATAGTTGCAGTTAAACAGCTGATGGATTGATAGTTGCAGTTAAGCTCAATTAACTGAGCATTAAATGCCAGCTGTGGACAGGACTCAGCTTCCATTTTGGAGCCCTCTGGTTCCATTGCAGCCCAACCCTACTGAACCCAGTTGAAATGGGGAGTCTTTATTTCTTCTGAAGTTTAACTGTAAATCACTTTGGTGGATTTTTTCTTGCATCAGTCTACAGCCATTCAGGCATAAACATTCCACTGGAGTTTTCACTGGATAGAACCAGGGCAGAAACTTGCCAGCAAAACCATCGTGTTCGAGTCCCTTGGTTCAAGAGAAGAATCTATAACTGAGCTTGGCTGAAAGCAGAGCTACTTTTACAGCAGTGAAAGGCATCTGACATGGACTTGCTTCAGTAGCTAAATATCACAGTAATGACTATGGGAACAATACAGTCCTGGGAGAAGGGAACGAGGAAGAAGAGAAGTATCTTGTGAGAGGAGGATGAGAAAATGGAAGTGTGCTGGTGTCTGTCCAGGGAGCAGCAAGAGGGCAGATTTTCTGCTCTCTGCTTTAGCTTTTGTGTCTATGTTAACCATTCAGACCTCTGATTCCTTCATCAAAACATGGATATTCTGTCAAAAATGCTGTTGCTTTGCAGGATACTTGGAAAAGTGAGAAATCCTTTAAATCAGCCTGTTATCCCCAAACCCACTTTGGTCTAGGTTCTGCTCTAGAAGCTCTCTGGATACATCAGTTGGAGTATGAGGCTGTAAATGGCATTCTGGAGTTCTGGACTTTCATAAAAGGCTTGGCTTTGATCTCAGTACACTGCATCATGTTAAAAGATTATTAGGATGGGGAGCATTGAAGTAACTGAAATGAATTATTTGGAAATACTATGCTTGATATTTGGCTAAGTGGTGTAAAAAAACCATGAAACATCACAAACTGAAATGCAATTACCTACTGTTTATAGATGTTGAGAATTCACTACCAGTGTGGATCTGGAAGTTAATGCAGTCTTACAAATGTCAATTTTAAGAAAGCCAGAGCTGTTCACAGGTATCTAAATGTGTATTTACCTTAAATTTGATCTGAGCAAAACAGACATTTGCTGCATGCCATCTGCATAAAATGGCTAAATATTAATGTAAGTTCATTAATTCTTAGTTGCATTGAAAAAATTGCAGTCATTTTGCTGGTAATGACTCTCCTAAAGTTACAGTTTTGAGAGATTAAGCTGCCCACAAATTTGGGAATGCTGATTAAACGTGTTTCATATGCTTTTCAAGATGTCTCAATTAACTGAAATAAGAACTTATTCATCACTTTAGGGGATATTCATTTGAGGTTGCTTTATGGGATGGATGGTGCAGATGTATCTCTGGCAAGTTCACAAGTTTTTAAGAATCTCCTATCCCGATTCTTACAGCACTTTATCAGTAGATTTTGATTCCTCAGTGTGCATCCATTTAATCTGGTCACAGTAATGTATTTACACTTCCCATTGTGTTAAGTGTTAACACCCTTCCTTTTTTCTTGTGTGGTTAGAAGGCTGTTCACCAGAAAACACACCTGGTGTCATGAATACTGTTCTCCCAGACAGACTGTAGCTCTCAGATGTGGCAGCCAGAACTGGGGATGGCAGAGCATTTGTG